CTCCACCTGCCAAATTCATCCTGCCATTCCCACACCGCCACTGCCGTGGAGTTGCTGCTGTGCCCCAGGGCAGAACCAGGGAGTCCGGATGGCCCGGCCGAACTGCTTCCCGCTCCCTGAGCTGCTGCCATGTTCCTCCCTGAGGTCTGGGCACGCCGTGATGGGAAGTGGCAGCAGTGCTGGCTGGCCTTACACCATTTTCTTCTGGGGGACCTGCAGCGAGAAACAAAGAGAGCACACGGAGCTGAGAACAATGCCCCAAATCCACCCCACCCTGCAGCCATACCACACAAGCCATTTAAGAGAGGGAAACAAGGTCAGCCTTTCACAGAAGATGCTTACTTTGCATTTAGGAGACTACAGAGAAGTGGATCGGCCTCAAAACCCTCTGGTCGAGGGCAAATGAGGTACCACCACCTACTCCCTGCCAATGCTAGCAGCTTTTCTTGCTAATTTAGAGCAAAAACTCTTTGAAGAGACTCAGCTTCTTACGGTTTGTGGCCCCAGACACCACCAGTTGCTGCAGACCTGTACAAAACCAGCCCAGAGCTGCTGCTGATCTGCGTTGGGCAGATCCGTAAGCCCTGACCCGAGTTCAGATGCTCACTAGCCAGGAGCGGGCCAAGGCAAGCCGCCACTCTGCATCCCTCCCCACCCCAGCTCAGCGCCGGTCCTGGCAGCGTTACGCTCTGACCACCCTGACGTGAGCTGCCAGCTCGTGAGCGGGAGCTCTCCGAGTACTCATGCACACAAATGACTTGGTTACACAAGCAGTTCCCAAACTCTTCTCACTGATCTGAGCTTCAGGGCTACAGTGTCAGCTCCCTTCAGGCTTCTGATCACTCAGTTTTGATCCAGGATCAGTCTCCCTTGACTCCTTTTGTGCAGCGCTATACATGCACACGAAGCCAGAAGACAATCCTTTACGCACAGTCTGCAAATCGCAGTAATACATACGTTGAGCATGATCCGAGCGAAGAACGGATGGGAATGAGTACGGAAGAACCAGGAGGGACGCAGGGCATAATGAACAGCCCGTGCTGAGGGCAGTGATTTAGCACGTCCTCAAGATCTCAGCGCACCTAGCTGCAGCTTCTCAGGTTGGAAAACAAGGAACATCTTGAAACAAGGGACAATCTGCATCAACAAAGACTCAAGCCGTTCTTCTTGGGGAAGAACAGAGAATGGGGTAGGAGCCTTAAGACATCCAGATAAAGACCCAAAGGGCAGGGAGTAAATCCTAAGGGCTCACAGAGAAGGGACAGGAAGCAGAGACAAAAGATGACCATCACTCTTAGCCCCCAGGGGATGTAAAAAAGCAGACCTAAAGCCATCACATGGTCGCCAAGCTGTCCAAGAGACACCAGAGGTCTGATATTTGGCATTCTTTGTCTGCTGTGTCATTGCAAGGAATCCTGTCTAGACGATCTGGACGCATGTGTCTTGATGCCCAAATGCCAGACAGACCACTTGGAGATCCCTGTGTTGGTGCTCGTGAGCAGGTGTTTTAAAATAAAGTCACCTTCTCCCTCCTAAGGTCTCACATCACTGATTGCTCGCTTAACTCCCAGCAGTCAGCAGGGAGCTATGAGCTTCCGTCCTGTCAAATGGAAAAGTTCAGGTCTCCCAAGAGGCAGAGAAGCAGTGGGCGGCTTCCACTGGAGGATGCCATCTGCACGGAGAATGACATCCCTGCCGGATGGGAAAGATCCCACGCTCTGTGGAGCGTCCCATCCATCATGCTCGTGTGGCTTGCTAGCTTAAAAAAAGAAATAGAAAAAGAGCGAGCGAAGAACAGACGCGCCCACATGTCTGCATTTATAAGAGGAAAGCAACACTTTCTCCAGGAATTCATTGTAAATTATTTTATGAGCTGCTCTGGGATTTTTACAGAACACCCCCAGCTCGACTGGTGGTGGTGACAAACTGCTCTAGATCACCAACAGAAGACACCGGTCTCTGCAACTGATCTTTTCGATGTAATTTGTTCTCCCCTAATGCACCAAGGATGGTTATTTTATTGCTCAAAACAGCAAATTAATACTTGAGGTATCAAACTCAACACCTGCCTCTGCCAGCGCTTTTTATGACAGGTTTCACGTCAACACATCTCCTCCTCAGGGACCGCCAGCACGTCCATGCTCGCCTTGGACCAGCGTGAGCCACAGCAGGGCTGCAGGGTTTTCTGTCCTACCCACCTGCATCAGGTGCTCTGAACCCCAAATAGAGAACCAACACCATTTTTTGCCCCCAAGTTGTTGTTACCAAATATTCATCTGCACATCCTACAGCCACAAGCAGAGCAGGAGAGCAGAGGGAGGCTGTTTGGAGGGAGTCAGCGATTCGTTTTCCTTCCTTTTTTAAAACACAGCAGCAGGAAATGGAAAAAAAGAGGGTATCCCAGCAGAAGAGCTGCCTCCATGTACCACCTCACACTCGCTGGGATGCTGGCCGAGAACAACCAGGTGACAAAAGCCTATTGCTCACCCCCTCGGATGGCAGCGATGCTTTGAATCCTGGACCACACGCACCGACCAGCTCCCACACGCAAGCAAAGGTACCTGGACCGGCTGCTCGCAAGTGCCACGTGCTCTGACATTCACTTCCACATCAGAATGGAAAAATATTTCCTGCGCTGGAACTGCTGGTCCAAAGGAGGAGCAAGGGGCATATTTCAGCCTCCTGCCAGTTCTCGCTGCTGAACGCCGCTCGAGCCAGCAGCTGTTTGCATGGATTGGGAAGCGAGGAATGCGGGAGAGCTTCAGTAAGCCAAAACTACACGAGTCCCCGAGTTAAGGCAAACAAGAGAAATAAAAGGCCTGAAGTTGCGGTTCCTTTCCCCTCTCCGTGAATTCAGCAGCACACAAATATTAAAAGCTGAGAAATTCAATACCAGAGCTGCTCGTGCGGTTTTCAGCCTACCCCCTTGGGCTGCCGTGCGTGTTACACCAAGGCAGGGAGGGTCTGGGGTAGGCAGCTCACAGAGCTGTATGGAGATGGCTGGCTGTGGCCTGGGACGCGTTACACATCCCACTTTACCAACATTGCGTTCTGCATGCGAGCAGCAGCAGTTCAGCTGCACCAGCTCCTTCATGCTGGCTCTGCCCTGGGAAGATTGGCAGCCCAGAGAGAGTAGCTACAGTCTTTGCTAAAATCCCATGGACTATAAACACTTCACCCGGAGCTTTAAATGTGCCTTGAAAAGCTAAAAGTCATACCAACCCCTAAAAGCTATGTTTATTCAGCAAACAGGCCTGGCTCCAATTAGAAATCCTATGGGCCACCTTGCCCCAAATGAAAACAAAAGCACGACTACTCGAAGTGCAAACTTAAATATTCCGGCCAATTGCCCCCCACTTAGGAGGTAATTTGTAACTCGGGCTCAGATCTTGAATTTGGATTTGTTTGGTTGGATCTTTAACACCCCAGCACAACCTCTGAAATGTTTGCCCACATGGATTTAACCGGGGACTTGGACAGGAAAAGAATTGGGTGCATTTCGGTTGTGTTTCCCAGCGGATTCACTCCCTGCTCCTCAAGCTCCAGCAAATGGTGGTGAGAAAGCCGGGGAGGGGCAGGTGGGAATTAAAGCATTTGAAAGACATATTTAATTCTCAAACCTGTTCTACTTCCAGAAAGCAGAATTTTCTTTTGCTTTAAATGCAGGATCTTAAAATTCATGGGTCTGAGATGATTTCTAAAAATGCCAAGTCCCTTTTTAAGTTTCTGAACTGAAATTGCCAGCGCTGATCAAATGATATGCTAGCTTGTACCTGGAAGAGAAAAGGCCTCAGGAGCCTTTGAGCTGGGCTGCATTAAAAAAATAAAAATCATCAGGCCGGTAAAACAGAGACTTTTCAGCAGGTTGCTCAGAAAAGAGGGTGCCCAGGAGGAACTTGTTAAGCGCCACTAACACCACATGAGAGATGGGACTGAAAGGGCTACAAAGAGCCCATGGGAAAAGATTACCCACAGATTAGGAGAGCGCATAAAGCACAGGGAGGCAGCGGGGCTGTAATAAACCCGTGACCCTGTCTGTGCAGGGTGCACGACTGGAGCAGCACTACAGGTGCCCTGTGCCACCCTGACCCCAAACCACCCAGCCAGGGCCCCCCCCACGTCATCTGATCTGCACTTCTAACTGTGAGATAACTCACATCGAAGCACATCTTTCCGTACACGAGCAGCCGGCACACAGCTAGCAGCAACCAAGGCTAATGCTAGAGCAAGGTAGTAGAGGGGAGGTCGAAGTAATAACTCCAGCTGCGCAGATCGATCTGCCCTCGACACAGTCCTGCCTTCTTCCAGCCTTTGCTGATCCTCGCGGCACAAGGTGGCTGGGTTGACAGCCGAAAGAACGGAAGAAATGAAACCCGACTGCTCCAAACCTGGACTCCTTCCATTCAAAACAAGCTTCAAGAGAGTTCCCTTCGGAGGAAAAAATAAAGACCGCAGCTCAAGCAGAACGAAGCGTTTGCCTATCAGCTAGGCAGAGGGCTTATTTCAGGCACGAACGAATAGGAAAGCTGAGGCAGCGAGAAGAGGGCAGGTACACCTGAACACAGGATCACACCAAACCCGGCATCCCGCTCGCTCGCTCCAGGGTCCTTCTGGGCACTGAAGCAGATTGTTTATTTGTGGGGAGCCTGTTTACTTGTGAGGGTGCCCAGCTGGCAAGATCTGGAGGGCTCCTCCAGCTTCGACCAGCACCAGGAGGGCTCTTCCCCCGCCTTTAGCCGGA